TTTGGAATTGGGAAATTTGGGATGTGGGAAATTTCGAATTGGGGAATTAGGGAATAGGGGATTAGCAAATAAGGAATTAGGGAATACGGAATTAGGGAATTAGACAGTGAGAAAATTTGGGAATTGGAAAATTTAGGATTTGGGAAATTTGGAATTGGGAATTTGGGAATTTGGGAATTTGGGAATTTGGGAATTTGGGAATTTGGGAATTTGAAAATTGGGAAATTTGGAATTGGGAAATTTGGAATTAGGAAATGTGGGAATTGGGAAATTTGGGAAGTGGGAAATTTGGTAATTGGGAAATTTGGTAATTGGGAAATTTGGTAATTGGAAAATTTGGGAATTGGGAAATTTGGAATTAGGAAATGTGGGAATTGGGAAATTTGGTAATTGGACAATTTGAGAATTGGGAAATTTGGTAATTGGAAAATTTGGTAATTGGAAAATTTGGGAATTGGAAAATTTGGGAATTGGGAAATTTGGTATTTGGGAAATTTGGAATTGGGAAATTTGGTAATTGGTAAATATGGGAATTGGAAAATTTGGTAATAGGAAAATTTGGGAATTAGGAAATTTGGGAATTGGGAAATTTGGGAATTGGGAAACTTGAAATTGGGAAATTTGGTAATTGGTAAATATGGGAAATGGAAAATTTGGTAATAGGAAAATTTGGGAATTAGGAAATTTGGGAATTGGGAAATTTGAGAATTAGTAAATTTGAGAATTGAAAATTTGAGAATTGGGAAATTTGAGAATTGAAAATTTGAGAATTGGGAAATTTGGGAATTAGGAAATTTCAAATCGAGAAATTTTCAATCCCTTGCAAACCTATATTTAACTGATAAAAATCATTTTTAGGTCATTTTGATCATTTTAGGTAAAGTGATACATAAACTGTCTGTTTATATTTATAAGCAATTTTTAAATTGTTAAATAATTCTACGATAATTTTATCTTTAATTCTAAGATCGGAGGGAATCACGAGACAAGAAAGGAGATAAGAGTGGTATCGCATTCGAGATATGGAATCTTTATTTACAATTAAAATAAGTATTTGCAACTTTGATATAATGTTTTGGTGTTCTAATTACATAGTTGTGTGTCGAAGATATAAGATAATATTTATTTGGAAAATTAAGAGATAGTTATTTTATAAAACTAGAGGGTAATTCAAATTATGAAATAGCAAAATGGCGTAGTAATATTGTGAAATAATAATATAATTGTAAAAAAGAAAATATTACAGTAAAACTCTAAAATGGAATAGTAAATTAATAAAGCACCATTATAATAGTTTAAAAAATAATAAAATAATAATACAGTAAAATTTTTACTAAAAGAAATGGACAGAATATTTAAATGTACGATGCGCACATATTTGCTTTTCATTTTTCTTTTTCCTATCTCTAGGGGAGCTGCGCAACTAGATACCAGGGTGCTTTGCACCTGCTACACCCCCCACCCTTTGTAACCAACCCTAAATTACAGTGGCAATTTTTGATTTAGCAGAGAGAGAAAAATCACAACAAATTCATTGTCGACAAAGAATGAAATGAGTATATGTTAATCATCGCTATGAATCTTGATGACTTTGCGTATTGACACCTGCTCGAAGAAGGGAAAGTGTTACGATGCAGCGGAATGTTATGTGTATTTAGATTTAATGTGGTGGAAATAGTAAATCATTAAATTACGAGGGTTCCCAAATTATCAAATCCTCACATTCTCAAACTTCTATATTGTTAAATTGTCACAATCTCAAATCACCAAACTCACAAATCAACAAATTGTCAGACTCCTAAATTCTTAAGTCCTTAAATTGTCAAACTTCTATATTGTCAAATTGTCAAATTCTCAAATTCCCTAATTCTCAAGCATGTATATTGTAAAATCGCAAAATTTGCAAATCTCTAAATTCTCAAATTACAAATTTTCAAATCCCCAAATTCACAAATCATCAAATTCTCAAATTCCCAAACTCACAAATCACCAAATTCTCAAATCCCCAAACTCACAAATCACCAAATTCTCACATTCCTAAATTTTGAAGTCCCCAATCTTTAAATCCCTGAATTCTCAAATTACCAAATTCTCAAATCCCTAAACTCACAAACCATCAAATTCTCAAATCTCCAAATTCTCAAATCCCCAAACTCACAAATCCCCAAATTCTCAAATACCCAAACTCACAAATCTCCACATTCTCAAATCCCCCAATCTTCAAATCATCAAATTCTCAAGTCCCCAAACTCACAAACCACTAAATTCTCAAATCCCCAAATTCTCAAATTCCCATATTCTCAAATCCCCAAACTCACAAATCCCCAAATTCTCAAATCTCCAAACTCACAAATCCCCAAATTCTCAAATCCCCAAACTCAGAAACCACCAAATTCTCAAATCCCCAAATTCTCAAATTCTCAAATTCCCAAATTCTCAAATCCCCAAACTCACAAATCCCCAAATTCTCAAATCCCCAAATCCCCAAATCCCCAAATTCTCAAATCTCCAAACTCACAAATCCCCAAATTCTCAAATCTCCAAACTCACAAATCCCCAAATTCTCAAATCTCCAAACTCACAAATCCCCAAATTCTCAAATCTCCAAACTCACAAATCCCCAAATTCTCAAATCTCCAAACTCACAAATCCCCAAATTCTCAAATCTCCAAACTCACAAATCCCCAAATTCTCAAATCTCCAAACTCACAAATCCCCAAATTCTCAAATCTCCAAACTCACAAATCCCCAAATTCTCAAATCTCCAAACTCACAAATCCCCAAATTCTCAAATCCCCAAACTCAGAAACCACCAAATTCTCAAATCCCCAAATTCTCAAATTCTCAAATTCCCAAATTCTCAAATCCCCAAACTCACAAATCCCCAAATTCTCAAATCCCCAAATCCCCAAATCCCCAAATCCCCAAATCCCCAAATCCCAAAATTCATAAATCCCCAAATTTTAAAATCCCTAAACCTCCACCTTGCAACTAAATAATATCGATTTTTGCCCTGGGCCCTTCAATCTCTAGCGACATCTCTGACCATCTTCTACTGTCTCAAGCGCTCAGCTTATCCCCCATGCGTGTAACGCCCTGTACACATTTCTAACATACTCCAAATTTCTATACCATTAAAAGAAATATTTCACAACAAATTCTAAAAACCACTTACAGATACAATACATAAACATTGCTAACATCATCACATATGAAATGTCACTTTTCTAAATATTCAATTTCGTAGAACAATTTCAAATCGTAAAAATTGTCTTGTAATCAACTAAATTTTATTAAAGAAAGAGCTGTTCATAAAATGTGTATAGACACACCATAATAGTATTTCTATCATAATATTTATTTCCACAGAAATTCAAACACTTTCCACATGATCTCCCCTATTTCAAACAAGGTGCGCTGCAACTGCGCACAATTGCTACGTCTTGCGACACTATTTACATTAACTATTTGTTTTCTATTATCCCACAGCACGTATGATTTTATCTATAATAACATCCTGAGGAGTTCCTAATAACTCGAAACGTCGCAACAACGAATACATCTATAATTTAATCCATAAATTACCGCACGCGATAACAATTGAATAACAAGTTATTCAAATTTATTAAAATTCTCACTCTCTCTCATAAATACGAAGTTCGAAATCAGTGCTCCGCTGGTTGTGCATTCCCCTTACGAGTGACATTTACCAGTATCGACTAGAACAACACGAGGCAAGGATGACGGAAGGAGCAGCCGTCTCGTTCAGGATACATCGCAGACATCGTACAAGTGCATTCACAGTCAATTACGTGATCAACTACGAGTATTCGCATCGTGGAGCTATTAAGAACGAGTTAATAAAATCATCGCGCCGTTCCGATGCTCGAACGGGAGGAGGAAAAAAAAGTACCTAGTTGAGGGTCCTAATGGAGCAGCCCATAGATGTCGTGCGAGGTGTTCAACTCGACCGGGTTCAGCGCAGACACTCGATCGACACTAAACTTACTCCATTCTCCGAAAACCTTCACCCGTAAGATCAAATGCAACAAACCGATCAAGGTCACCGATCGAACTACCTTTGCTCCGTAATTAAACCTACCGCTGATCCTACGTCGACGCAGGTACTGAGAGGAGGTACACCTCTGGTACTCACCTTCGTCGCGAAACACCGTGTCGTGTATTTTTGATCCGTTCACGAGAACCCTTCACCGAAGGTGAACGTCTTCGAAGGGACACATAGACCGTCAGAAAAATCGTGTACGAATGTGGAACGCGTGAACAATGGAGCCAAAACGAACGGGCTCACTCTGCGAGGGGCACGACACGTGCTGGGGCTCCCTCGACCGAGTCGCGACTGATATCATTTCCAGTGGGGGACTGTGGGGTCGGGAGCCAGAACCCCACCAGGGGGTCTTCGTGCAACCCCCACGCGGTGTCGTAGTAGTCGTGGCTGTGGCTCGTTGTCGTGGCTCCACCGTTGCTGGCCTCTCGAAACCCCCTTTGCACATACAGGGGATAAGGGACCAGAACGTGTACGTGTACATCATGGGGGAGAGAGTTGTCTCGCTTCATCTCGCGTGCCACTCGTTCCATCTCTGTCTCGGTTCTACGCATACTTTCGTATTCCCGTCTCTCTCTCTCCTCGCCGCGTCTCACGAGAGCCTCTCTGCCCGTCCTTGTCCCGCTCCAAGTATTTGTTCCTCTCCTTCCAACTTCGCTGCCTACGTGTGTATATATACACACCTACGAACACGGCCGTACGGTTTCTCCCCCCGACCCTCTTCGCTGGCCCACTCCCTTCGAGAGAACCCCTTACCCCCCACGTAGCCCAGCAGCTTTATCCACCCTGAGCCCTCCCGTGTACGAGGGGTTGTTTCTCCGATGCCTGATCGGACGTTTGCGAGAAAAGGGACCCTCCCCTCCGAGCTATCCCCCATGCCTTTTTTTTTCGTATTTCTACGTCCAAATTATTTTATCACCGCCACCGTTTTCCTTACCTTCGAGGTGACCCTGCGAGAATTTTCAGCTACTTCCAGCTTTTTAGATTTTACGAAACGTGGAACGCTATCGACGACCTTGCGACAGCTTTTCTGGGGAGATGCTAGAAAAAGAAATTTGTCCTTGAAAGAAAATGGAATTTTCGAACGGAAAATAGAAGATATTGCTTATGCGAGTGTCGCTTACAGCAACGCCCCAGGGGGCAATATAGGTGTATTGTTCGATTCGACGAGTGAACTCGCATAAAAGATGTTGAAACATGAAACTGCTTGTTGAAGAGTGTCGCAATACGATAAGCACAGACTGTAACGGACACTGACGTAACCATCGCACCGGCTGCGTGTGTGCGGGCGCACACGCGTGTGCGTGTGTTATATATAAACGTATGTAGGTACATACGGTGGGTATATACGGGCAAACCGTAATAGATCAGTGTCTCAATTCGTATTATGATTGGGTGGACTTTTCGGAAGTTCCTTATCGAATTGTAACACTGAATCGCAATTTGTGTAGTAAATGATGATACGTTTGCACGATCGGATGGAGAGTATTTTTATCTTTGCTGGATTCTTGGAAGAGACACAAATTACGTTTTATTGCAATAAATTGATTGTTCACTGCCGAGGTGACCGGACGATTCGGGAGCAATGAGCGAATATCGATTCGTTATTTTTAGGGGTAGACCATCCATGAACCCCACCTACGTTACTCCATAATTTCAAAATTTCTTCGTAATCAATTATTTCTGGACCCCGGGTCAAAATGTATTACGTTCGCCTATTTTTTTCATCAAATTTTAATTCCTATGTCAAACTTGTTACTCTTATTAATAGTAAACATTTATTTTTGTGTTATTTAGGCGTTAATGTAATAATGTAAAAATAACATGAAATCTATATCCTATTGCAAGATTTCCACACCGTAGATTTGCTCTCTTCTAATGTTTCAAAAGTGTGATTCGATACACTCCAGTTCTGTGGTCCAGATATAATTTTCAAATATTTAATTTAATTCATGAAATATTATTAAAGAAAAATTATATTTTTAAAGGTTTTTTTTTTATTAAAATACTTACAATTTTCAAATATAAAACATTTTTGCAATAGATATTCAATTGTTACTGTTATTGCATTCAAAAATAACTGTGTGTAACATCTATTGAAATGGTATGAAATATTTGATAATGTAGCATATAAACTGGTTACAAACTGAACTGTTGTAAGAATTTCAGAAAAAATGACTAGACTATTCATATTGTGTATAAGTGATCCTGATACATACTACAGTGATTGAACAAAAATTTTTTTATAACCTGAAATATTTATACAGAATTGGCCATTATTCGAATAATATTTGAATTACAAATTTTAAATAATTGTAATTAACGAATATCCGATGTAATGGATATTCGACAATAACAAAAAATATTATTCAATGAAAATACGTTAGACGTAAAGAATGAGATCATTTCAAAAAGTTTTTAACGAAACAAAGTTATTCCAAAAGTATCAAGTATTTAAACCGTTGTTCTGATTAAATGTTATTCGTTACTTTTAGAATAACTGGATTTTCGAAACTTATATCTGGAAGGTATTCGAATAATGTCTAACTCTCCTGCCTACATTATGAATTTTCATGATTACTTATAACGATTAAAACAGCTTTGACACCGGCAGTAGTAGCAATTATAAAAGAATAGCGAAAATTATTACTATGTTACGACGATAATCGTTTTTAAACTTATTCTATTAATTATAATTATATTATCGTTAATCTTTTAAGAACTATGTTGCAATTGTTATCGTTTTTACTATAAATTATATCGTCACACTATTCACATACGTTTATAAAATATAATTATTGCCAAACGAACTTATAAACGTAATTAATTAAAGACTAATTAATAATGATTGTTATAATCATTCGTCAAGACCATGTATATAAATTATTTGAAAATTTTATACTTTCTACGAGTTGAATGTGACTTGGGTCAGGATTGCAAAAATATTGTAATAATTCATCACTGAATCCACAATCACTCAAATTTTCTTTGCCAAAAACATTTTGCGGCATTTTTGACCCACCTTCTGATTCCGTCTCTTCTGTGAAAATATAAAAATTTGATATTCATAATTGCTGTATAAATAATTATAATTGTACTTCTTTCATACAGTATAAGAAGAAGAAATAATTTACCAAGTCCTTGTTTAGCTGCTGAGAAGGCAGTTGTTGCATTTAATTGTGCACAACTTGCAGAGTATTGTTCCAATTGGCTAGATTTCATTAAGGAACAAAGGGAAGGTAACACATGTGGCAAAAGAGGCCCTTTTAGTTCCAAGGAAAAATATCTTTCATTTTCAATGCGTACTTTACTTTCTTTAACCTTAAAAAAAAAAGAATAAATCAAATTCTATATTTAACAATTTAAACTTATACAAAATAATATTTTACCTTTATAGATTTTAATGTAGCACCATGAAAAGCTACAGGTGCTAAAAGAGTTGGAGGCACTCCTGCTAAAGGACCAGTTATTGTAATAGCAGATTTACAATTAATTAGAAAATTGAATAATGCCTGTGCTTCCACTCCTTTCACGAAAATGAGGGAATGCTTCAAATTATCTATTTCAGTTTCTTTCTCCAAAGTCATTCTTGCCTGGAATAAAATGAAATCAATTTGATGAGTACAATGGAAGGAAATTAAGAACACTGGGAAATTACCTGTGAACTATTAATTTTCTGAATTTCAGAATTCTCTACTCCTAAACTCTGCAGCCATTCAGCTTGTGTTTCATCTTCATCATCATCAAAATTCTGTTCCTCTGGGTTGTTCAATACTGCTGTAGGACTGGACTCGCTTAAATCTGATGTTACACAACCTGAATCAGCTCCATCCGAGTATCTCTTAGAGTCTTTCCTCAATGGCATTGTATATTTAATTTCTATAAAAAACAGTTCTTAAATTTCTAATTGTTTTTACCACATACATAATTCAATTTGTTATACCTTCTTGTTTTAAAAATTGTCGAAAACCACGCGTTGTAGGTGTTAAAAAAGCATGAGCTTCAGAAATTCCACAAATTCCAGCAGCACGAAACAAGGCAGTGAAATTATTTGCACAAACATAAAAATATGGACACTGCCGTGCTCTTAATAAATGGAAAAGTGATCTAAAACTTTCGCTCCATTCTTTATAAAGAGCATCTTTGACAGGTAGATTATTTACTATTGTGAAGTTACTTGTTAAATTAGCACTCACTTTGCCAGCAGAGCGAGGAAATAATTCTAGCCATGGTAGTGAAGGATGTTGCCACACTAAGCAACATCTATGTAATCTATATGAATGAAATTACAAATGTATTAATGTTAGCTATGTTTCTAAACTCTGAAGTCCCATTGAATTAAAATTTGTACAATGTTATAACAATCACCTTGCATTTGGACTAGTGTCTAAAGTTGAATCTTTTTCACTGATATCTAAACACCTTACAAAACCAGTTGTACCAGAAGCTTCTTCACTTGTCTTTAATTTGCAATTCCATGGGAAAGGTTTTGGAGACATGAATCTCATTTTAGTTTTTAAAGTCCAATCTATTGGAATATATTTTTCACCTTTCGGTGTCTCAGATTCTACAAAATTCTTATGTACTTCTAATTTCGAAAGAGCATTGCTAAATGTTAAAGAACCATCTAATATCGAATTTTCCACGTTGTCTGCTTTTGGTGGTTCAATGTTTAATAATTCAAACAGTGTATTATCGTTACTAGCTTCTAATTCTACAGATGTAATATTTGACTTTTTACAAATTTCATCCTTAGCAAAAGGATTTTTACGTTTCTGGCCTGTAAACTGACTGAAGCTGTTGTTACATTTGTTAGATTTCACTGTAGAGTCATTTTGATCAACACGTATATTATTTATACGTGCTTGCAATGCACGTTTCTTCACTTTCAAACGATGCAACTGCATTACTTGATCAGGCCTCTTCCATTCTGATGCTTGCACTTTTTCTAAGCCCTCCATTGATGTATGTAAAATTTTATCACATAAAAGGTTTATAAAACATTCAGTAATATAAAAAGGAAACAAACATGATATCGATGTTTGCAAAGAATAACATTACTTTCCGATTTCGTATACTTATAGGGAAACAATCTTATTTTTCAAACACAATGTATAATACGAATATACGTTACAGTTCCAAACATTTTATATTCTCATGTACACATATTATATTTAGACAGGCGGTATGAACGAAATAATGGTATAAGACACACACAACATTAATCGAACTTTTCATATCAATTTAATAAAATCATCGAATGAATTCATTAAAAACTAAACGTACACAGCTGACTGTATAAACTATAAACAGGAGAGGTCCCCAACGCGGTATAGTCTCTCCAGCCACATCTTCCTACTGCTACGTGAACTACCAACACATGTTCAATTTATGTACATATACTTCCTTTACGTATGACAAGCATGTGAACACGCACACATCTGCACACGAATGTGGGGGGTATTAATGGTAAATAAGAACACTTCTTTCAAACAGAATTTATTATAAAAACTTCATCTTGTACTACTTTTCGCATACATATACATCCTTAATAAAAATTCTGTAATTATTTAATTTATACAGTAGCAAGTAAGAACAGCATGTTATTGTAAAACAGTTAATTTCCTACATTGAAAACATTGTTCCAAACTTTACTTTCTCGTCTATATTAACTTAATCACAATTTAAAAATATGGCAGTCTTTTTCAAATAGAAACCGTTTCTTCCTAGAAGATGATGAACTTTTTAAAGAATTAATCGTAGTATATTTTGTAACTGTACGAATTTAGAAATGTTACATATGATTATCATGTGGCTTATAAGTAACAGTGAGAAAAGTTTTCTTTTGGATTTAATATTGTTAATAAATTTTCGGAATGCCGCCAAAAATAGTGACACTACGGTCATCTTGCGGTAAATGAAGCAACTAAACAGAGGAAAATTTCGTTTTTCGCAAAGTGAGTCACTTTCGCGTTATTGGCGCCAAAAGCGTGTTTTATCGTAAACGTCTATTTTGAGTAATGTCATTACAATTTGTACAAAGCTGTATTGTGTTTATAAATTTGTGAAACATATAACAGGAATGATGTAAGTGAAAATTTTGTTTGATAATACATTAAATAGTTCAAAATATTAAATATTTCAAATTGAATTCCTAGTACGAAGAATGTTGTGACGTAATGTCGATTCCGAAATAATGACGGATCTTCAAAATATAAGAAAAACGTTGTGTGGAAGATTATTTAGGATAAAATGAGAGTGTGCTTCTGTAAGTATTAAAAAAAGTAAGTTTTAATACGTACCAACAATGTTGATAATGTAGAATGTACAGTAATGCAACCTGTTGTAGAGCAGTCGGGAGGTGCTGCCACTGCAACAACTATGCACATAATTTCCAAGGCGAAGGTTGAATACAGGGAACTGCAGGTATTTATCCCCCATTAAATATTTAAAATAAATAATCACGCTATAACACCAATTTAATTATTCAAATAATTTTGCATATAGAAAGTTAAATATGCATGTTATTTTAAATGTATAAACTCTACAAAAATAAAATATAAAAGTATAGATCCTTTTTGTAGCATAACCTTTTTATTAATAAGGGTACCATTATTAAGTCATCCGCCATTAATAAAGCACGCTTTCTTTTGAAACTGTACTTTAGAATTTAAATAGATTTAAATAATGACATGTTAACACTTATGCAGGAAAAATATTTCTTACAAATATATTTTTAAGTATAATTTGAGAATACTATTTTAATGTAAATAAAAATTAAAAGATTACAAATTAATTCACAGAAAAAGAGAATTGTAGAATTTTTAAAAATAAAGATTTAGGAACAGAGCAAGTATTTCCAGTGATCAACAGAATAAAATATTATTGTATACTTTATATTGTTAAGGTATTTTACTTACTTTTGAATATCAAAAGTACCATAGACTTTTTAACTGAATTTACTTTATTTGTCGAATTTACCAACATCCTAACTTTTGAACTCGACTGTCGCGACACAATCACCTTAAATGGGTCGCCTGTTGCATCTAAAAGAACACTGAACAAAGACAAAAAACAATGGAATGAGACAGAATGCATTAAAATAAAACGTGTAAAGTACAATGAACTCAACAAACAAGAATTTGTACCTAAATAAGTTTATGTGTCAAGTAGAAAGAGTTTTGTGTCACGGTCTTATACAATTTGGGCTTCCTTTTGTTGAAAACAAGTGCATGAAAAGAAATGTTCTACCGCTCGTCTCACAATTTTTGCATGAAGTAACAAGAGATTCATTTAGGCTCTACTTAATTCTTTTTTAGGTTCTTCTTCCCTAGGATTTTCCTAGGTTCCTAAGTTATGGTCAGCACACATATAAATTGCAGCAAGAAAAGTATACTCTTCTTCAGCTTTTCAAAAAAACGTACACATCTTCGGTTCCTAAAAATTAGGAGAAGCATTCTTCCCAAAAGTGGGAAACACACCTAATTGAGGAACACAGGTACAATTGAGTCGTAGATATACAATGTATGTTCGATCGTATAATTTTATTTCGAAACATCGAGTTCCCTGACGTCTAATTGTCTGCAATGCTGATACCAATGACAAAATGATCGTTAAGTTATTATTATCGACGATTTGTTAAGCATTATTAATAATTAGGGCCAAGCTGCTTCAGCGTTCTCGAAGTCTTGTGTTTTCCGACGGTGCGTCTTCTCTCGTCGATTCGTGATCGACATTTTTAACAAAACGTATCGCGAATCTAACTGGGCGCATACATTGACAACATCCATTGATCTAAAAATGTGGTTTTTTTTTCGCATTTTTTGGCATTCGGGAGTAGGAAAGGGAAATAGGAAGATATGAAGAACGCAAGCCTCCAGTTTATTCTTTTCTTTTTTTTTTCTTCTTTTGGTTCGCTTCTTTTCACTCGCACATTCACTCGAATAATTCGTTCTTCTCACAAAGAACACACTGTCTTATGTACTCTTTTTAGATCTTACGTACTCTTCTGATATGTTCTCCACACACACGCATACACGCGACGTTCATACTCGTTTCTTTTAATTCATGTCCTTTGGCACACAGTTAACCGGCACTCAGCTTAGCGGTGACCAGCAACGGGTACCTTCTTCACCGTGGCCAGAATAACACCGGTATGAAGAGAAACATCGACAAAAAATGCGATAATTTCTTGTAACATCCGAACAGTCCTCTGCCGTTGTTACTCGCACCTGAACTTTGTGCTGCCTCGGCTAAACCTGAACAGTAAAATAATATTATTTAACTATGCTACATATTTTATTTATTTTCATTTTGTTTACTCATTTTAATTATATCTTTTACTTGTTTTAGTTTTGCATATCAAAATTGAAAGACTCACCACCGATAATGGATACGTGGTCTTTTCCGCGTGACGATCTGTCGGAACTAATTTTAATTTCTGAAACCAAATGATGACCATTAGGCTGAGCATTTAATTATACGTTGTAATTAAATCGTTTTTAATAGAATGCAACAACATTGTTGTGAACACTTAAGGACTTAATAAGAGGTAAATGTTTTTACAACAAAGTAGAATGTAAAATGTTTGTTTACTCTAAATATCTTATAACAATTATATAATGATGATAATGATGATGATGATATTGATGATATTGATAATAATAATGATAATAATTATATTGATGATAATGATGATAGTGAAGATAATGACAATGATAATGATCACGCAAATGGAATTAATACTAGCAATAGTAAGATTAAATTCATTAATGAAGAAGTACCCTTCACTCTTCATTGACAAAAGAAAAAGAAGTGCAATAAATAAAAAGCCTTGAAAGATTACATGACTGCGCCAATATTAATAAATAAAAGTGAAGAATAATTGTAAGTAGCTTCTGAAATGGCAAGTATTGTTAAGAATACTTACCATATAGTCTTACAGTGCCATCTGCTTTACCGAGACTATTCGTCGACACGCATTTATAGCTACCCACGTCTTGTTCCGTGAATCCTTTGATTAACAGCCACATCAAAACTTTATATCCGGATCGTTCTTCCCGTACGGTGTACTTGAGTCTATAGAATTGAACGGTAATAAGCTCTGTTAATTATGAGAGAACATTGCCAGCGTTCGAAACGATAGAAAAGAAAAGGACATAACCTTACCCCTCGAGCAACATTTCATCTTCCACTCCTGGCCGGTTCTTTACCCAATAATTAATTGTATTTGGAAATGCCTCGACGTAACATTTCAACTGCACGTCTGTTCCCAATGGCGCTCCTAATAGCTGATTAGGTGATTGTACGACGGGTGCAACTATGAAAATATATCATTTTTATTTAATTACAGAAATTTTCTAAAATTGTTTTGTAACTTAGTTATAAATATTTGTTATAGATTTAATTTGGTTAATATTAGAATTAAATTCAACTACAAAATTTTATAACAAAATTTAAAATATTGCTAACGGAATGGATGTAAAAAATATTGAAAATCAGTCTTTTGTAAATTCGGTATAAATTAGTAGCAGCGCACCTCAAGTGTCGATACCAGGATATAAAAATAGATCAGAATAATTTTTTAAATAAAATTTCACCGTATAAAGGAGCCTTTCATACTAGACGAATGAAAAGAATTTAATTCAATTCCAAGCGTGGGAAACGGAGGGTAACTTCAATTTTAAAGTCGAAACGTCAAATTCAGTGACCTATAATAATGTACATACATATCATGCAAATGAGATACGCTGTAAAGCTTTCTCATTTGCGATTCCGTATTAATATTCCTTGCTCTATTATTATAGCCGATTGTTAACCGACCAAAAAAAATACCTAATAAATTTAATATACAGCACGTAACATGCTGAGCGTTTGAATAACAATACAAAATTATAAAATCTATGGCGCTTTATTACCTAATTAATTCTCGTACAGTATCTATTGTTTTCGAGCCATTAATACCGATACCGTTTATGCAAATCCATCGGTATTAACAGATATTTCGCATATAAACAATTATACTGTATATCGTAGCTGCATTAAAATTATATCCTGGAAATGATACAACTTATGAGGTATTACTTTTGTAAAATATGCATGAAACGTACGAAGCGAGTTACCTAAGAATTTTACCTGAAATATCTTTGAAATTTCCTATTATGTCGAACGTTTCAAGCGAAACATTTTGAATGTACTGAATATTTCAAACGAAAGTTGAAGGAAGCATAAAGTAGACGCGCTCGTTATATCGCCGAGACTGTAGGTAAAATACCGTCGGAAGTACGCTCTTTCAATTTCAAGTATTAAAGTAAACAGAATAACAAACAATTATTCACCGAAATTTAACAATATATTATATTTCTAATATCGTGGATTTGGTAGAAAACCGACATTGCGATAAATTTCAATTTTTATCCGCATTAATAATCTCTTGGACTATTTGAAGTATGTATTTATTGCATAAAAAAGCCAATATGAGGGATGTTAAAATATCTGTTTATTGTGCATTTCAACGAGGAAACAAACAAAATGCATGAATTCCGTTCTTAAACAGAAATCAAGCCACGTTTGCAAATGAAACAAACGATATTGTGTCGAGTGATAAATTCACAAACACTCTGCAGCATTTATCTCCGCTTTTTCGTTTTAATTCGTTACGATAGCAGAGCCTGATATGCAATCTCGAATCTTTTTCCGCCGCTTCCTGCGAAATCGGAGATGCGAGCCGATCTTGCATTTTTTAAGCAAAATGAAATCGTTGAGCGGAAAAATATTATCGATTCGTACGGCTTAAAAAAATACTGCCACTCGACGTGTTTGATATCTCATCGTTATGCATACTGAATTTTTAATGGACATATAGGGGTTGCGGTTTATAATTATATTGATAGAAAGATCTTGCCTGAATCCACAAATTTTAAACAAGATGGGACAATAATTTTTGTAACTAGAATTATTTTTAGAAGTCTAATACTTTTTTATTTAGGACGTAACTTTTGAAATAACTGATAAGTTCACTTTTTTTTAGCGGAGGCTTCTGCAAAATCGATTTGGTTTGTGCACGAACCAGCAATATAACGAGAGTCTAATGAACCCCTACAAATAATTCAGGTAATCATTCTATAAATATCTCAGCATAAATACGTGTTAAGCGATATTTAACTATCGCATTTATTAGGATTCTCATTACATTAAAAATGATAATCTCAGGGAGGCTAGCAAAGGTTCGTCTTATCGTTATTAAATATTTATCAACATTATCTACGATCTCAGTGTGCAGAGATTAAATGGGACGCCTTGTATAAACAAGACCATGCGAATATTGCGAACTATGACGTGTGAATTAATTAGTTAATTCGTAAGTACGTCTTATTTTGGAACATTCGAGTTGTGCAGTAATAACTCGTATACGTCATAATTTGCATGGCCTCATTTGTACAGCGAGATATCTCGAAATTCGAAATATTAAATTCTTGAAGAGTCATCTGCAGTGTCACCTAAAAATTATTATAATAGCGTTTAATCCGTTAATCGGGAATGATGAATGAACTCGTCGCTCTGGCAAAAAGCGCGCAAAGCTTTACGGTGCATTTATCAAAATATTTATGCTTGAAATTGTACCGTTCTGGTCATATTAATTCGTGAATTTTCTACCGTGTTTTAATGCGTTCCTATGCGTTTTATTAGGACGTAAACAAAATTATATTCTAAAGTAGTGCATGCAAAATGGGGTGCAATTTCGAATGGAGATTTGGAGAGTTGGAGAATTTGTGGATTTAGAAGTTTTGAGGATTCCAAGATTTGACAAAAATGATTACAGCAAAAAATAATATAAATCAAATTAAAATAAGTGTAAAGAACAGTGAGGTTTAAGTACATATTTGATAAAAAGTTGACTATTTAATCTTATACTACTTGTAGGGTTTGTTGAACTTGATTTACCAAAGATAAGAGAAGACCCAGAGATCAATCAAGTGGACCGTGTCTAAAAAGTGCCTCACAATTAGTGTAGGTCCCTGAAATGTTGCTGACGTGATTCTGAATAAGATTTCCCTTTGCAAAAATGTGGTTTGAAGCTTCGTCTTTGAGTTATGAAGGGAAAACACGGACCAATCAGAGCGTGAGATTACGCATGCGCAGACGCGAGAGCGGTAGTTTCGGATAACGCGTAGTTATCCAACGCTTGGTAATCTGACGCGTAGTAATGCAACGCGTGGTAATGCAACGCGTAGTAATCCAACGCGTAGTAATACAGCGTGTGGATATCCAACGCGTAGTAATCCAGCGCGTG